TCACATAACCCAGTCTACGGAGGCAGGACATATCTCAAAAAGAGGTTAAACTTGTGCTGAGACTTGGAAATGAAAACAGTTAGTCAGGTAGAGCATAAGTAAAGGACATTCTAAACAAAAGGAGAAGGTGTACAAATGCATTTACTAGACTGAAATTAAGCTGATCTTAATTCTAGTCCACTTTGGGGGAAAAGAAAGGAAATAATATGGCCAAATACCTTCTCAGAAGTGGTTTTTGAGTTGTGCTGAAGCTGAAGATACAGTGTAGAATTTGGAGGCATCGCTTTTAAACCTTCTCTTCCTCAGTCCCCACTCCATGCCTAGTTAGACCCATTCCTTGTGCATAGAATTTCAGAGTTCCAGTCTGAAGTTGGGACTTAGACATACACAGACATTACTGATGGTCTGAAGAATTCAGCAGAATTCTGTTTACTTAAAATCATATTAAGAGAAAACCTTCTAAGTAAGGAAGGAATCTGATATTATCTGTACTACTCAACAATTGGACCTAACAAGTAGTTCTGGATAGGATAAAAGAAAATTCTCAAATATAGCCTAGCCCAACTCCCTAGAGGGCCTTTACTAAAGTTGTCTGGATATGGTTATAACTCTCTAACTTCAAAAAAATGAGTCACTTCCAGCAGTGGAACAATTCCCAGTTGTGCCCCCTCATAATGAGTAGGCATAGAGATCTGGAGAAAAACAAGGCTATACAGAGCAGACTGGCTAACTATCAAAGAGCTTTGAACCTCAAAAGAACCAATGATTCCGAATAGACAGAATGTTAACCATAGCAGCCTGGTACAGATCCATTAAATGGTGAGGAATGTAAAAGAAAGTGGTGGAGGGATTCCGCATACAGCAGCACCGAAGTAGACACCAGATCACATGTCAGAGATCAAGGGTAGCTCAGCATACCATATGGTCTGAATGGCATAGCAGAAGAGAAATGGACCTAAAGCAAGTAGAATGGCTCCCAAGAAGAATGATGAGAACAGCAGCCAGCACAATGAGGTGACTGGGTATGGAAGAGCATGTGACCACTTGTGACCCACAGGGGCTCAAAGGGCCTCTCACCACCACTTGGATATCCATTTGCCTGGCTGGCATCTCCACTTGACTGTCTCTTATTTCTCAGTGATTAAAATTAACCTTTATGAAATATTTACTGAGCATCTGGGAGTTCACACCAAGGGGTTTACTGAGCTTTGATTTCTGGGATTTTAAATCATCTTTGAAACCATGTGTCTCATCAAGTTTGACCTGCCATTATGAAGTTCCATGGACTAGGTAGCTTATTATAAATAACAGAAATTTCATTCTCATAATTCCAGAGGCTGAAAGTCCAACACCAGTGTGCCAACATGGTCAGGTTCTGATTAGGACCCCTTTTCAGGTTGTACTCCGATGATTTCTCATTAGTTCCTCACCTGGAAGGAAGAGGGCAAGAGAATTCTTTGGATCTCTTCTTAGGGCCCTAATCCCATTAATAAAGGCTCCACATTCATGACCTAACCATCTCCCAAAGACTTCACTTTCTAGTACCATCACAATGGGGGTTAAGATTTCAACATTTGAATTTTAGTTGGGGAGGGATACAAACATTCAGCCCATTATACCATTTCTAAAAGGATGTATTGGGAAGGTGAAATCCAAAGTGTATATGTCTTTCTTTTCCCCCTCTGAAGAAGCTGCCTTTATTTCTGTTTCCAGTTTCCTGCTTTTGCAGGAAAGGAAGATTTTAGGGTGAATTTGCACCTTAAAATTGGTGAGTTATAGTTATAGACAGATGGCCTTATCCAACATCAAAGTTTGGACTGCTCATATGAACACAAGATGACATGAACTGACTTAACCTTTGAGATATTGTATTTGGTGAACATACAATTGCTGCAGAGGGCACAAAAGGGGTGATTTAAAGTAAAACTGTAATTGCATATTTTTTAAAAGAAATGTGGTAGTTATAAGGCTCACACAGAATTAAGAAGAGAAATGGAAGCCCTTCTTTTGAAGAGCTGTCCTTCAGTGAAAAATGATGGGTAGTTATTTCTTTGTCTACTATTTCCCTATTCCAACTCAATATGAAATGAAGATTTCAACTTTTTCATGGTGGGGAAAATAGACAGTGGAAAGTGGAGTAAGTTCCTGTAATGATAAATCTTGTCAACTTAATTGGATTAAGAGATGCTTAGGAGATTGGTAAACCACACCTCTGGGTGTGTTTGTGAGGGCATTTCCAGACACAACTGGATCATGAGGATGAAGGCCTAATGAATGGGTTAGTCCATTAACAGATTCAAAATCTGAATGGACTACTGGGAAGTGGTAGAATCTGAATGGACTACTGGGAAGTGGAAGGTGGGCCCTAGCTCCAGTAGCTACATCACTTGGGGGTGTGTCTTTGAAGGGCAAATCTTGGCCCTGGTCCCTTCCTGTCTTCTCATTTTGCTTCTTGGAGGCCATGAGGTAAGCAGCCTCCTCTTCTACACACTCCCACTGCCATGATGTTCTGTCTCACATCAGTCCAAAGTAGTAGAGCCAGCTGAACATAAACTGAAACCCTTGAAACCATGAGTAAAAATAAATGTTTTCTTCTTTAAATTATTTTCTTAGTGATAAAAGACTGAGTAACACAGTGTCCATCAACCTTGAGCTATGGTAACTCTGGTCCATGGTAATCTTGAGCCAAGGTTTTCCTTTACTTTCTACCTATATAAATGATGGAGAGGAAAAGGTCATGCCTGGTTAACAACAAACAGTAATCACAGGGCCTCAAATAACCATTCCTCTGATAAAAGTGTGAGTAGGATTGCTATTGTCAATGACCAAGTGAAAAGCAGACATTATGATATTTGTGCTTTCTGTAGAGATAAATAAATTAGGAAAAGATCAAACAAAGTCTTCAACTGTAAGTAGTCTCTTTTCAATAGCTCTCTTTAGAAGGGTGCCAAGTATTAAAAGTTCTCTTCTCATGAAGTTCAAATCTGTACAAAATATGTCTCAAAATTCTCTTTGCTGTTTGAGATCACATTAATGATTGGAATGTGATGATCATCCCAATAAAAGCCAAACATTTTTTGATAAGTAAAATGTGGCTAAGTGGTAGTGTGCTTGCTTAGCATGTATGAGGTCCTGGATTTGATCCCCACACTACAGAAAAATATTTTGTTCAACAAAGGATAAGATCCTACAAAATTGTTAAAAACTAGCTTGACTGTGTCCATTTCTATGCCCAACATCAGTGTGAAAAAAACTCCGGGTTGTGAATCAGCAACATTGAAAGGAAATTATTGAAATAAGTATGTGAATTGTGTAATTTTTAAAAATATACCTGTGAAAGGTAGTTGGAAGCAAAAAAAATAGTCTCTTTAATAAAAGAAAAGATTCTGAAGAAGTTAATGTAAATATTACCAAATATTTTTATGAGAGTCCTACATTTTGCTGAAACTGTCAAGCAAAACTGCCACAGACAGTACCACTCCAATTCAGAATGTGTAGATAGAGGGACAGGAGATGAATCCCTGGAAAAATGTGACAAAATGGAAAGACGACAGCAAAAGAAAAGGCAATAGGCAGAAGGGACAGCAAAATGACAAAGGGAGAAGATAGGAAGATTGAAAAGGGAAAAAACAAACTTGTCACTTCCCTACAACCCCTCACAAAAAAAAATTAAGAAAAAGAAAAACCAGAATTTGCTAAAGTGGGAACAAAATAGATACTGAAACACTGAACAAAGGGCCACAGAAAGAGAACAGGAAACCTGGTGCTCCGGCTGTTCTGCTATCTCTCCATGTGCACATTCTGAACTGCCCTGGTCTCTCTGTTCAAATGTACCTTGCACTCCTCTTCAAAAACTGTAGCCAAAAAAGCATTAAATAGTGTACCATCAGCTGTGTGTGTTGGCAGGGCTTACTCTCCTCCAGGCTGTCTCTAGGCTCTTAGGAATTTCTTACTGGCAACCAGAGTAAGCCAGGGCCTCAAACACCGTGAGAAACAGAGGTCAAAGGGAAGATTCTTAAGGACAGAATGAGGCCAGGTACACATTAGCCTCTAGCAAGAATCTAAGTCCTTTAGGAACAGCTCTGCTGCCATGGTGTCCTATAAAGCAGTCCTTTTCAAACTTTAATATACACTGGGTAAACCCTGAAATTGTTCATTCTAACCACAATTCACAATACCAAGTTATAGTCTCTTAGTGATCCCTAGATGGTCAGGAGGTGGAGGAGAATCTGGAGCACAGTTTTTTCCTGCAGGTACACACAGACAAGGCAGTATGCAACATATGTTCTGCATTCATTCATGGCTACACTTTGTTCCACTTTCCAAGGGCTGTTACTGCAGTTTTCCTTTGGGACTTCCTTATGGAATTCTCTACACATGAGCCCAGTGAGCTCTGACGTGACCCGTTTGGAGGGCCCCAGAATGGCCTCTGTCACTTTTTCCTACCTTCTTTTTACCCAATCCTCTTCCACCAAGGAAACAATAATTGTCTCCCACCTAAAAATCAAGGGTATGTTGAAAAGCTTGAGTAATTATACACAAGCATTGAGACAATGCTATAAACACACTTCATGGTCAAATTTGACTCTGATTTCTTTATCAGCTTTAAAGATGTTCCTGTTACAGACCTTCCTCAGAGTTCCTTATATTTGTGTATGAGACAGAAAGAAGGTAGATAACTGAGTGCATGCACTCTCCTCTACAAACCAGATTCTAAAAGCATTAGGGAGAGTTCTTAAGAGCACTCTTAGGAAGAATTTGAACTAATAGGTTCAAATAGGTGGGTGGTCTCTATTTCCTTCCACAGAAACTGCCTGTTGGTGATGCAGTGTGGGAGTCAGAGGTAGCTACCTAAGTTTGCATACTTGCTGACTGACAGAACCCTCCTGCCAGTGCCTCAGGGCCAGGGTGGTGTGTCAGTGGGAGGAGAAACCAGTTTCACTTCCTTGCTGGTTGGAGACTCACAGCCACAGCAGGCTCCTGCCTCACTGAGGAGTCAAACAGGAGAGCGTGAGGAGCAACTGAGCCATCTCTACTCTTCCCACAGCATCTGCCAGAGGCTCAGCAGGCAGACGCCAAGGGTGCGAATGGGCAGAGCAGAACTTCTAGCAAGGAAGATGAGTGCCCAGGATCCCTCAGATCTGTGGAGCAGATCGGATGGGGATGCTGAGTTGTTCCAGGACTTGGGGTAAGAGAGTAGATCCCCTTATCAAAATGCTTCATGAGTCAACATATGTCCCACTCCCCTAGATGGTTCACTTTGATCAATGACTATCTTCACGATGTCCCTTCTCTCTGCTGTCCAGATCTGTCCTGGCTACTTTGTTCATGTTTGCCTATGTGGGATCTTCCTTTGGGGGAGAGGGTGCTAATTCATTGTAAAACACGCTGATTGTTCCAGATGTGAAAACAGGTAGACTGAGAAAATATCATAAAAATCGATTGTTGGACTTTCTTTGAGAAAAGGGTCAGAGCAACTGATGTTGCCTGGTTTCTTTGATTCTGGTCTGGTTTATGAAAAATATGGGTAAAAGTGTTTTGAGCACTGCCCTGTTTCTCAAACACTGCGAAGCTGTGTTGCCGGTAGTAAAAACAGAAAACCAACACTGCTGTAAGTGAGAGGGACTTTTTCAAAAGAGAGAGAATGAGGAAGTTTCTGCAGCAATCTGGCTTATATAGTCTTTCTTCTGACATTGTATTTCTGAGTTCTTGCATGTATTCATCTCTGAGGGGCAGCTGCATCTTTTAAATACCAACAATTCAAAAACAGTATAAAACTCCTACCTCAAATAGGTAAGTTTAGATAGGTAGAGTCATCAGAAACTTGTCTTTAAGAAGAAACCAAATGACACAATTTATCAGGATATTTAGTAAAAGAAGCAAGTGTTACACAAGAGAGGAAAAGGGGATTTCCTAGAGAAACTGAACTGTCCACCTAAAGCCCTGGGAATATACCTTAACAAGGCTGTTTTTGACGCTGGTGCTTGCAGACAGGTGAACTTGGACCATCCATCTGGATAAACTGCTATAACTCTTCAAAATCTGATGACATGGGACCAGTTGTCTGTCATCTTCTTCTTACAAAGGGTAAAAACAGCACCAAATGGGTTTGAAAACCTTGCTTATCTGACACACATCAATGAAATAGCAAAGCTGAGATTCCAACCTGCCAGAAATTTTGTTCTTAACCAGGGAAAGATTGCAGAGATTGTATCTTTCTGTGTTGTATTACTGTAAACATTCTCAGTAACTCCTACTGGCTTTAGCTTTTAAAATTGAGGTCTCAAAATTGACCTGTACTTTACATGACAGATCAGATATAACAGCTAGAATTTTCAATAAAGGAAACCCCCTTATTAGGGAAGCAGAATCCAGAATCTTTCTATGCTTCTGTATTGAATTCCAAGCAGGAGATAAAAGGCCCCTCTAGTGCCACAAAGTCCAAGCACTAAAGCTAGATTTTGCCTGTTACTTAGAGCCTTATTGACTTGTTTCACTCTAAGGCTTCACCTGTTTTGTTATCTATATTCTCAGACTCCTGGGAATATTCCTCAATCATCTCCCAAAAGAGAAGTGAGATAGAGGAAATATTCAATTCTGGCCATTTAATTAAACAGATCTGGTTTCACAGATCCTGAAACCAGGATCTGTGCTTAAGTCATGTTGGCTCCCTTACATGACAAAGAGGGACTAAATCATGCTCTGTACACCATACAAATGCAGTGGCAAGAGAGGTCAAAGCAACTACAGGTAAACTCCTTGTCGTTCCTTCCTATGCAAAGAATTTACATTCAATACAAAGTCCACAGTTACCAAAATAAATGGCGTACTTATGTCTAGACTTCTTTATTTCAAAGGCCTGGAAATTTATTAGTTTGGTTTCTAGAAGAATGGGTGACCAGCAGTTATTTGGGGAAACTGCTTTATACCATGATTCTCAACCTTTGCTGTGCACTAGAATAACCCAAGAAATTTTTTCTAATTCCTGGTGCCCAGTCCATACACCAGACAAAAGATTTCAGTACCTCTTGGGTGAGAATGTCCATTTAAACTTTCTGCATGATTCCAAAGTGAGACTGAGGTTGAATCATTGCATATAATATGTACTCACTAAAAGCACTGAGTGTGACTTTATTAATTTTAAGTCTGTTAAGTGTGTATCTGAATCTTAAAATCACTATTAAATATCGGCATTTTGTTTGTTATTTCGGGACATTTTGATTGCCCCCGGCAAATATTCTGATGGAGCATTGTTTATCTAAATATTCAATGGTCTACCTGAGATGAGGTTGTAGTGGAAGAAGCCTAGATGGCTAGGATTTATTTATTTCCCTGGCATATGCTAATTTATGCCATTTGCCTATGAAGGAATGGACAATTTCAAGCTGCCAAGACTTTACAAATACTTGTCAAATTAAATATTTAATAATCATCTTGAGCCAGTACTTGCCCATCTAGCACATCAATGATGTGCTTTTTATAGGTAATAATTTAAAAACCTTAACAATGACTTCTTGCCACTTAAAGAATTCTGGGGTGTGAACTCAAGGCTCACACTTGTTGGGCAGGCACTGTACCACTTGAGCCACTCTGCCAGCCCTTTTATTTGTGATGGGTTTTCTGAGATAAGGTCTCGCCAACTATTTCACTGAGCCGGCTTCAAGCCGCCATCCTCCTCATCTCTGCCACCCAAGTAGCTAGGATTACAGGCATCAGCCACTAGCACCTGGCATCAAAGAATTCTTAATGTAAATGAAATTTGTTCTTCAAACTTTTAACCCACTCTGGTGAGGTATGATTTATACAAAACAAAACAACTGATTTACTGTAATTGAGAGGTAAAAGTGTCTGGTTTTAATGACCTAATTTCTAAATTATATTTAATAGGTAATTTGCATAGTTAGGTAAGATGTGTTTATATTTTTATAGTATCAATAAATAATTTAGTCATTAGATTACAGAACGTTAGTGTTAGTTCTTTGGTCTCTTTTTTCCTTCAGACTCTGGAATATGTAAATCCTCTAAATTGACCCCAGTACCCCTCTTGCCATACATGTCCCCTATAGGGCAGGTGGCAGGGTTAGTAGGCCCTGGCACCCAGTTTACCCAGTCCTAGTCTCTAACGAATCCTGGGCCAGCCAGTGAGGGCTCTACCCAAAGCAGTGTGAAATGTGTGACCAGTAGGTATTTTGGATCCAACAGGACAAGAGTTTCAAGTCCGGAGAGAACAGAGTAGGAGGACCAGGGAGTCTTCCTTGTGGCTCTTCTCAGTCACAGGATAGTGTTGTAGAAATCTATGCTTCAAAGATAGGTTCTCAGAGTAAAAGGTAGTGGTAAGTTTCCAAGACTTTAGCTATAATGAAGCAGCTCTGGATCACCCAAGGCATGGCAGCTGAAAGTGACAATACATGAAGATGTCAGTCAGCAAAGGTTAGGATGAATAGAGACAAAGCTTTCTGTGACCTTTCCCAGAAAGGCAAGAACAGGAATGTCCTTCTTCACCAGAACCAATGTGGAAGGAAAATGATAAGAAAAGCTGATGTTTTGTCCTTTTCTAAAAATCCCTGGGTTTTAGCTCCCAAGAGCAAGAAGAAGCCCTAATCTCTTCTTACTCTTTCAGCAACCCTCTATTTTTCTGGGCAAAGACTTTGTCACTGTGTTTTACCACTGTGTTAGCCTATGACCAAAGAAGCATGTTAGTCCTTTCATGAAGTTAATACAAGGGTCTTTACAAGATACACTTAAAGCACACATTGATGCTGACTCAAAGATAATCTAATTCCTTTAAAATGAATGTCTGAATTCACAGACACATTCTCTTTTGAAGAGTTTACATTTCAATAAGGATGAATCAGTTTTGGAACCTAAACTGTTTGCCAAAATGAAGCCCTAGGTTGTGCTATAATTTTTGACTTCTGAAATTACATAACCTACTGTTACTCTATATAGAAACATAAGGAACATTTTTAAATGTGAGTTTTTGCCGATCTTTAAGAATGTTGTTAGGTATGCTGGTGTAAACCTATCATCCCAGCACTTGGGAGGTCAGGGAAGGACTGTGAGTTCAAGTCCTACCTGTGCCACACAGTGAACTCTGTCCCAAAAAAACCCCACAAAAATGTCTATTGAACCTATGGGTTAAAAACTGCTCGACCCATAAGCCATTGTTATTGCTCCTCCTCTCCAAGATAAACTCTATGGCCCAAGTATTTGAACTCACCCTGAACTCGGGCATCACAAAGTCCTTGATTTTTTTTTTAAATTAATCTCTTTTCACAGCCATGCTAAGGGCAAGAGTGAATTGTTTCCATCTATCTTCCTTTTCAAGTATTTCTAGGTGTGAGAGTCAAAAAAATTAAAACTTTTTGTTTGCTGAAATATAAAATGTGATCTTTCCAGGGTCTCAGGTGATAAAAGTTTTTGCTATACACTTTCATACATTAATTTTTATCAAACTAGTTAGTATTTTTATATGTTTGCAAGCAAATATGCTTTCATAGCATAGCTTGTGTCTAGATAAGGTAAGTATAATTCTCATATCATTCAGTTTTAACTGACAAAACAGTGTAGAAACTGCAGAACTGTTGTAGAATTTTCACTTGTTGGTCTTGTCCTGGTGTTACCCACCTTTGTTTTGTTTTGGGCTAGTTTTTGGTTTTGTTTAGTGGATATTGGAGGTTGCCCTGTGGCCTTCAGCATTCCAGGCATGCTAAGTTAGCCTTCTATCAATGAGGTTCACCCCCCCACACCCACCTTTGACCAATTACGTACCTACTCAAGAAACCTTCCCAATAGGGAACAACTATGAAATCACCTTCAGTGTCCCCTATTGCATCAAAAATTAGTGTAAAACTTTTAATTGACCATTGATAACTGTGGATGTTTTTAATTCTGTGGATTGTGTTTAAGCAGTTAAAAAGTATGTTCCTGGTATTGAGTTGCTAAGGGGTATTGCATCTCAATTTATTGAAATTATAAAACAGAACTATGAAATTTATAATGCATCCTATTGCATAGTTTCAGATACTGGAATTAAAATTGATAATTTATTATTTAAAAAAAGCAAAACTCAAGAGAAGGGAAATGAAACAACTAGTAACTTAGTAACAAACTGGTACAGAATTACTAATCAGTTAAGTATTTAAAACTCCAGCAGTGATACATAGAGAAATCCCTTTGAACATCAAT